CATGGCAAATCCTGGCGAGGTCCCGGCTTAAGGTCCCGGCATAAGGTCCCGGCAAGGTCCTGGCTTAAAGTCCCGGCTTAAGGTCCTGGCAAATCCCGGCGAGGTCCCTGCAAGGTCCCCGGCATGTCCCGGCCAGGTCCCAGCAGGCTCGCAAGAGCGTTCTATAGGAGCGCTCCAAGTGGCCTCCAAGAGAGCTCAACATGGCCCGAGACGGCCCAAGAGCGATCCAGGACGCCAGAGATGGCCTCCCGACAGCCCAAATTGCCAAAGCGCCTCAAGCCGACCCCAAAGGCCTCCAAGAGACCTCCTAAGAGGGAGACAGACATTAGTGATTTGGCTGCAATTTTCAAAAGTTTTTGGCGTTCTCGCCTTGGGGGCTTACCCGGGCTCCAAGACGGCCCAAGAGGCTTCCAGGATCGCCCCAGCACAGCCCAAGAGGCCTCCAAGAGCGCCCACAACGGCCCCAGAGGGCCCCAAGACAGCCCCAGAAGCCTCGAAGATGGCCGAAGAGGCTCCCAAAATGGCTCCAAGAGCGGGCCCAGACGGGGGACCCGAACAGACAGTTCGAGCTCTACGCGCAGAGAGGTCCCATGGAGGCCGCAAGAAGCCCCCAAGAGGCCACCAAGAGGCCGCCACAGGAGGCCCCCGAGAGGCCGCAAGAGGCCCCCAAGATGCCCCCAAGAGGCCCCAAGAGACCCCCACGAGGCCCTCAAGACGCCCCCGAGAGGCGCACTGCCGACGACCACTCGGCCAGTCGACCGCGGTGCGCAATATGGGCCGGCGGAATGAGCGAAGCGATTCAAGCAATCCGGGTCGGACAACTAACCACTCATCGGGTAAGGTGCCGGGACCTCGAAGGCCGCGGATTGCACAGAACACATCGTCGGGTGCCAGTGGATCAGGCCTCAGACGACAACGCAGTCCCATTCTTGGTTGCCCTCCATCCCGAGTCACGCCCCAAGCAATATCTATCCGCCGAGCCCTTTGGGTTCATCGGCGTGTGAGATGTTTCCCCCCTCCCCAAACCCCCTCCCCCGGGAGCCTCGTCTGGTCGATTTGGAGGGGGGGGGTCCCGTGAAAAAAAGAGAACGCCCCAGGGGTCCGTTCCCGTTCCCGTTCCCGTTCCCGTTCCGTTCCCGTTCCGTTCCCGTCGTCGTCGTCGTCGTCGTCGTCGTCGTCGTCGTCGTCGTGGTCTCCGTCCACCCTGAAGGGGGGTCAAGAGGGAGGCTCCAGAAAGGCTGCGGACGCTTGGAGGCGTGTTGGGCTCTCCTGAGAGGCCTCTCGGGGGCCTCTTGGAAGCATGTTGCAGGTCTCTTGGGGCCCGTAGGGGTCTTCTTGGGGACGTCAGGGCGGAGGACTTGGTGGTCTCCTGGGAGTTCGTTGGCGGTCTCGGAAGGTCTCTGTCAGACGCCTACGGCGAATCAGCGCCGCCCCTTGCCTTTTGGCAACGCCGACGCGGCCAAGCGTTACGGCGAAGTTTGGCCCAGGTGTTGGACCAGGTGTTCCCCCAGCCGTTGTTGAAACCCTTGGGGGGAACACTTGGGTGAGGAAGATGGGGGAGGAGCAGAATAGAGGGGGATGATGGTGATGATAGCGAAGAGGCACATGAGATGATAAGGAGGGGGGGAGGAGGCCTCTTGGAGGCATTTTGGGGCTTCCTGCGGGCTTTTGGGGGCCACTTGGGGCCATCTGGACTCCTTTTTCGGGCAATCTTGGCCGTCTTGGAGTGCATCTTCGGTCGCCTCGGGGGCCATGCAGGGCCGCCCTGGCAGTCTTCGACGGCATGCTGGCCGTCCTGGAGGCCACACTGGACCATCTTAGCACGCTGGAATGCAATCTCTTACGTCGTGGAGGCCATCCCCAGCGTAGCCCACCCAGCCATGGTTCTGTTAATGCACTCGTACATATTCAGCTGCCTGCGGCAATTCCCGCCACCGTGGCGATGATGATGATGATGATGATGATGATGATGCTGATGATGATGCGGATGATAATGATGATGATGATGATGATGATGATGATGATGATGCTGGTGTTGAGGATGATGAAGGTGATGATGTTGATGACGACGATGATTATAATGACGACGATGATGGTGACGATGATGATGACGATGACGATAACGACTACGAGGATGATGATGTTGATGATGATGACGATGATGATACTGATGATGCTGATGACGATGCTGACCATGATGATGGTGATGATGATGACGATGTTGACGACGATGATGATGATGATACTGATGTTGGTGATGATGATGACGATGATGATGATGATGATGGTGGTGGTGGTGGTGGTGATGATGACGACGGTAATGATGATGATGCTGATGATGATGATGATGATGATGATGATGATGCTGATGCTGATGCTGATGCTGATGATGATGATGATGATGATGATGATGATGATGATGATGATGATGATGATGGTCGTCGGGACATCGCGGGAGGCTTTTCGGGGGCCTCTTGGAGGCAGTTTTGAGGCCTCATCCATGCCGTCTGGGGGCCTTTTGGGAGCCGCTTGGGGCTTCTGGGGGCTTCTCGGGGGCCTCTTCGGGAGCATGGTGGGAGCCTCTTGGGGCTTTTTGGAGGCGTCTAGTAGTAGGAGCCTAGGAGTAGTAGTAGTAGTAGTAGTAGTAGTAGTAGTAGTAGTAGTAGTAGTAGTAGTAGTAGTAGTAGTTAGTAGTAGTAGTAGTAGTAGTAGTAGTTGTAGTAGTAGTAGTAGTAGTAGTAGTAGTAGTAGTAGTAGTAGTAGTAGTAGTAGTAGTAGTAGTAGTAGTAGTAGTAGTAGTAGTAGTAGTTAGTAGTAAGTAGTAGTAGTAGTAGTAGTAGTAGTAGTAGTAGTAGTAGTAGTAGTAGTAGTAGTAGTAGTAGTAGTAGTAGTAGTAGTAGTAGTAAGTAGTCGTAGTAGTAGTAAGTAGGAGTAGGTAGTAAGTAGTAGTAGTAGTAGTAGTAGTAGTAGTAGTAGTAGTAGTAGTAGTAGTAGTAGTAGTAGTAGTAGTAGTAGTAGTAGTAGTAGTAGTAGTAGTAGTAGTAGTAGTAGTAGTAGTAGTAGTAGTAGTAGTAGTAGTAGTAGTAGTAGTAGTAGTAGTAGTAGTAGTAGTAGTAGTAGTAGTAGTAGTAGTAGTAGTAGTAGTAGTAGTAGTAGTAGTAGTCTAGTAGGAGTAGTAGTAGTAGTAGTAGTAGTAGTAGTAGTAGTAGTAGTAGTAGTAGTAGTAGTAGTAGTAGTAGTAGTAGTAGTAGTAGTAGTAGTAGTAGTAGTAGTAGTAGTAGTAGTAGTAGTAGTAGTAGTAGTAGTAGTAGTAGTAGTAGTAGTAGTAGTAGTAGTAGTAGTAGTAGTAGTAGTAGTAGTAGTAGTAGTAGTAGTAGTAGTAGTAGTAGTAGTAGTAGTAGGAGTAGTAGTAGTAGTAGGAGTAGTAGTAGTAGGAGTAGTGGTAGTAGGAGTGGTAGTAGTAGTAGGAGTAGTAGTAGTAGGAGTAGTAGTAGTAGGCGTAGTAGTAGTAGTAGTAGTAGTAGTAGTAGTAGTAGTAGTAGTAGTAGTAGTAGTAGTAGTAGTAGTAGGGATGGCCGTGGGAGGCTTGCCGTTCCTGTTTCCGTTCTCGTATCTTGGGTCGGCTTGAAGGCGCAGGGGGGTAGACGGGCACGCGACCGGGCGGGAACGGAACGGGAACGGGAACGGGAACGGGAACGGGAACGGGAGCGGGAACGGGAACGGGAACGGGAGCGGGAGCGGGAACGGGAACGGGAACGGGAACGGACCTATAGGGCGTTCTCGCGCTTTTACGGGGGGGTCCCCCGGGAGGTGGGTGAACGCGCCTGGGGGGGGCAGATGGCCCCAAAACACGTCGAGAGGTCCCCAAGAGGCCCTTGGGGCGGTCCGAAGGCCACGACTCGCCGAAAGATCGATCCTTAACGCCCATGCTGGCCTCCCGAACGCCCAGGAAGCCCTCAAGACGCCCCAAGAAATCCCCAAGAGGCGCCCCAAGAGGGCCTCCAGAAGCACAAATCATCCCATTCCCTTGGGGCAGCGTGCATTTTGAAGACATTCGCCTCTTGGGCGTTCACAACGTCCCAGACGGCCTGAGAGGCCGTGCCGTGAAGATCGCCCCAAGACGGGCGAAGATGCCCCCAAGAGGGCTCCAAGACGACTCAAGAGGGCCCCGAAACGGCCCAAGATGCCCCCACAACGGCCCAGGAGGGTCCCAAAACAGCCCCAAGGGGGGACCCAGAGGGGAGCTCCACCGAAGGCCCCAGTGGGGGTGCCCGCATGCGTCCGCCACACCCAATGCACTCAGACCTATCGTCTTCGTTCGTGCCGTGTACCCCGCCACACATTTCGGCGCAGCCCTCGCATGGGTCGTGACCCCATAGGGAGCGCCACCGAAGAAGACATTCACACCTGCGGTATTCACAACTGCATATGGTTGGATCCTTCGCCAAACTCATGTTTTGTCGCGGTTGTCCTAACACCCGCTGGATAGCGGTTCCGCAACGTCCGATAACCGTTGCAAGTCGCAACGGAGCAAACAACAAGGTCCATAATCTTTCGCACCACCCCCAATCCACACCGTGCCGCGGTTTGCCGGCGGACTGGCCACCGCACGCTGCGAAGGAATACATCTAGGATCCTGGCCCATGAACGGCCGACAGGAAATTACAGGGTGGCTCACAGGCAAGTTGGCATGGCAGAAAAAAACACAAGCGAAGTCTACTAATTCCTCTGGCTTCCTTCCCCCTTCGGGGATCCTGTGGTAGCGGAGATGCCCGCTGCCAGCTGCTAGTTTGCACGACACGTTTCTGGGCAAGAAATTTGCCTACGTCGAGCAAGTCTGAGCCTTGCAGTCCCGAAAAGTGAAGCTCCCTTCGAGCTCTTGCCATTGGTGCGGATACACGTCCTCCTGGAGTGCACCCGCGAGGGCCCTGCGGACCAAGGGGCACACTCCTGGATTCTCGGCTGGCCACTGTGGGCCAGTCGTCGATTCGTCGAGTGACCCCGGCGTCCTCCTCGGCAAGGCCCTCGCCTGTGGCCGCGAAGTAACCCTCGTAGCATAGCCGCCGTGGAAGGTCCTGGTCCGCCATCGCGGATGAAGGACGACCAGGGTAGAGGACTGGAGAGGAGCCGTCGGAATAAAGCGTGCCAAACCTCAAGATATTGCATAGGAGGAGGATCAAGAGACAGAGAACATGCTGAGAAAGAAGAGAGAATGATGGCAAGAGGTAACAGGATGAGGGAGAGGACACGGCAAGATGGAGAAGTAGGAAGAGTAGTATGAAGAGGACATCTATCCTCCCTTTCTCGTCTACTCCTTGCAAGGCTCATCTGCAGCGCCTACCCGAGTGAGCCACTAGACGATACGGGGCCGCTGGTGGGCATTCGGGCCAAGAAGATCAATCATCCAGCCTCGCACCACCTGGGATACGCCTTCCGTGCGGCAGCGTCACGCACTGGGCACTCGGAGGAAGAATTATTGCCACATTTTCTGCCGCAGAGCAGCAACCACCGTCACACGGTGCCCAGGAAGGCTGCTGATCGATTTAAGTAGCACTCGTGCACCGCTGGGGGCAGGAAAGAATCCTGACAAGACGACTCGTGCTTATGGAGACCCTTGCTCTTCGGAACCGTGCCCCACCTCCAACTGATAAGTTTGCAACCGTCTTCGTCGAAACCGTCGTCGTGGAGTATTGCTGGCGCCGTCGCTGTCGTTATGGCGGTTGCCGCCGTGGCCGTCGTCGCAAGTGTCGTCGACGTCATGTGCTCCCCCTCCTCCTCCTCCTCCTCCTCCTCCTCCTCCTCCTCCTCCTCCTACTCCCCCTCCTCCTCCTCCGCCTCCTCCTCCTCCTCCTCCTCTGACTCATCTCATTATCCCCCTCCTACTTCCTCATCCGCATCCGACCTCCTCGTCCTCAGCATCACGTCATTTAAATCGGGCTTCTAGTCATAACCAAAATCATGGTGCAACATTCGTCAACACCGCCGCCTCCATCACTATTACCCTCCTCGTCTTTACCTTCATCCCAGCACTATCCTGCGAGTCACCGCCATCCCATCCACTGCGGAAAGCGCGGGTTGGGTTGGTCCCGCATCTCATCGTGACCGTGCAGCGACAGGAATAGCGACGCCGCCTCGTCGACGAAGCCCAGGGATTGGTTCCTTTGGCAACGCCAATCTGCGACACGGGGAGGAAAAGAGGCAGAGCGAATCAAACTCTCCAATTGATCCCCGGATGCAGAAACAGAGTAGTGCCGACACCCACCCTTGAGAAACTAGAAGTGCGTGTGTGACTACAAGCACTTCGGCGACATATTTATCGAGGGGTGCTGGTCGGCAGTGTACTGTGACTTCCTGCATGGACCAGACCCTGCGCAAGCAACCCGGAAGGCTCTCCCAGAACACTTTTGCCCACAACCTTGTTATCTTCCTGACGAACTTGGCTCATCAAAAACATAATTGCTGAAACCTAGGACGACAAACTTGTCGCAATGAATGATCCGTACATGTTCCCTGGAAATCCGGGACCGTGCCGAGAGGCACGACTTGTAGTGCCTCCAGGTTCCTTGTAGTCCTCAGTCCTCAGGATTGAATACAGTGGAGACCCGACCACCAGAAACCTTCCACAAGAAACCCAACCCTGAGACACCAGGACGTCCATTGATTTCTAGCGTGGAAACGTCGCGCTCTTCGCTGCCAAACCATCGAAACCCAAGAAACCCAAGGCACCCTGGAGGCAAGCAGGGTGTTTCTTGGCATGGGCCCCCACTGTACCAAGGGCCCCCAGCCCCAAATTCTCCAATCATCAAAAAACGGCTCCCGGCGGGCCTCCCGCGGCTCCCCCCGGCGCTTCCCGCAATTTACTTATTCGGGGCTACTAGGGCCCCCTGACCGGGCCAGTATGGCCCCGAGCGGTCTCTGATCTACACGCCAGGCGCGGTGGCGCGACAGGCCGAAGGCAAATGGATTCGCCGCCCCCTGTGACTTGCCACGCGGGTGCACGGCGTGCCAGATGTTCGGTCGCCTCTTTGTGTTCAAAGATGTTGTCTCAAGAAGGTTCCCGCCAGCCACCCTGAGAGCCGCGCAAAGACCTCAGCGTCCACAAACAATCGCCCCAGGAAGGCCAAGACAGCCCAACATTGCCTCCAAGACGCCTCTGAGACGGTCAAGATGGCTCAAGATAGAGTCCAAGACGGTCCTAAGATGACCCAGATGGTCTGAAGAGAGCCCAAGATCGCCCCAAGATGGCCTCAAGATCGTCCACGACGGCTCAAGAGGCCTCCGAGACGACCCAAGAAGCCTCCGAGAGGTCCTCCAAGAAGGCCCGAAGAGAAACTATTAATATTCCGTTTATTTTGAAATGATTCTGATGTTTGCTCATTTTTGGCGTACCGACGGCCCAAGACGGCCCCAGAGGCCACCACGATGGCCACAAGAGTACCCAAGAAGCCTCCGAGACGACCCGGCCCCCAAGACAGCCCCAAGAGGATCCCAAGACGACCCAGGAGACCTCCAAGACCACCAAGATGGCCTTCCAGACGGTCCTGAAGCGCCTCAAGAGGGCTCCAAGCCAGTCCAGAGATGCCCCCTAAGACGGATTCCGACGGCGTCAGACGGGCCAGGAACGCCCTCAGACGACCAAAGAGCCTCCCAAGGAGCCTCCAACGGCCCCCAAGAGACCCAAGGAAGCCTCCAAGAGGCCTCCAAGAGGCCCCCAGGAGGCCCGTAGGAGGCCCCCAGGAGGCCCCGAGAGTGTCCTCCTCCTCCTCCTCCTCCCCTCCTCCTCCTCCTCCTCCTCCGTCCCTCGTCCTCTTCCTTCCTCCCCCAGGTGCTCTCCGAAGGGTTAGGGGGGACACACAGTCCGATAACAACGTTCGGCCGCTTAGACGCTTCCAACACGCATGGGGCGGCGGTGATTCGATCCGCCGCCTCCTCTGGTATGCCACAGAGGTGCACGGCGTGCCAGACTTGAGGTGTTTTTTGGTACTTTAAAGGTTCCCAAGGCCTTCGGCCTAATGCGCTGCCCACCAGGAAGCGAGCGTAAACTGCCCTGCTCATGAGCTTTCTCGCTACAGACGGCCCTAAGATGGCTTCCAAGACGGCCAACATGGTCTCCAAGACGGCTTTCATGGCACCCAGAGGGCCCAAGGTAGCCCCAAGACGGGCCGAGATGCCCCCGAAGATGGCCCAAGATGGCCTCAAGGTCGCCCAAGACGACCCAAGAAGCCTCCGAGAGGTCCTCCAAGAAGGCCCGAAGAGAAACTATTAATATTCCGTTTATTTTGAAATGATTCTGATGTTTGCTCATTTTTGGCGTACCGACGGCCCAAGACGGCCCCAGAGGCCACCACGATGGCCACAAGAGTACCCAAGAAGCCTCCGAGACGACCCGGCCCCCAAGACAGCCCCAAGAGGATCCCAAGACGACCCAGGAGACCTCCAAGACCACCAAGATGGCCTTCCAGACGGTCCTGAAGCGCCTCAAGAGGGCTCCAAGCCAGTCCAGAGATGCCCCCTAAGACGGATTCCGACGGCGTCAGACGGGCCAGGAACGCCCTCAGACGACCAAAGAGCCTCCCAAGGAGCCTCCAACGGCCCCCAAGAGACCCAAGGAAGCCTCCAAGAGGCCTCCAAGAGGCCCCCAGGAGGCCCGTAGGAGGCCCCCAGGAGGCCCCGAGAGTGTCCTCCTCCTCCTCCTCCTCCCCTCCTCCTCCTCCTCCTCCTCCGTCCCTCGTCCTCTTCCTTCCTCCCCCAGGTGCTCTCCGAAGGGTTAGGGGGGACACACAGTCCGATAACAACGTTCGGCCGCTTAGACGCTTCCAACACGCATGGGGCGGCGGTGATTCGATCCGCCGCCTCCTCTGGTATGCCACAGAGGTGCACGGCGTGCCAGACTTGAGGTGTTTTTTGGTACTTTAAAGGTTCCCAAGGCCTTCGGCCTAATGCGCTGCCCACCAGGAAGCGAGCGTAAACTGCCCTGCTCATGAGCTTTCTCGCTACAGACGGCCCTAAGATGGCTTCCAAGACGGCCAACATGGTCTCCAAGACGGCTTTCATGGCACCCAGAGGGCCCAAGGTAGCCCCAAGACGGGCCGAGATGCCCCCGAAGATGGCCCAAGATGGCCTCAAGGTCGCCCAAGACGGCCCAAGAGGCCTCCAAGATTGCCCAGGAGGCCTCCAAGAGGACCGCCAGGAAGGCTTGAAGAGGCCACAATCAATGGATTCCCTTAGGTTTTTGGGCTCGCGAGGGGCCCGGCTTGGAGGCCCTGGGGGCCTGGCCACGTGGCTAAGTGTGCACCGCGTGGCCATGGGGGGCACCTCTGCCACCGCGCGAAGAGGAAGAGGGAGGTAAGGTGGGTGGGATTCAGGAGGTTCGAACTTCGAGGTTCGAACTTCGAGGTTCTAGGTTGTCGGGCGTTTTCGTCGTTTCTTGGCGGTGCCGCCCTCGGGATGCGTTCGAGCGGCTGCGCCTCGCCGAGAGCGTTCCGGGGATACCCAGATCGTCCCGAACGGCCACCGGAGGCCCGAGTTATGGCCCACAAGCCACATTCGGTGGCGAGCGCGGCGGGGAAGTGAGAAGGAGACGGCCTTCTCAGAAAGCGGCGGGACTTCTCAGAAACCCTCGCGCCTTCGGAGATGCTTTTTGTGTCGTCGGGGAAGGATCAGAACACTTCTCAGAAGGCAGGGAAACTTCCGAGCCTTCTCTGAGACGGCCTTCTCCTTCTCATTTCCGCCCCGGGCTCGCCGCCGAGAGTAGACGCCTCCCAAACAGGAAGCGAGCAAGTTAGGATGTAGGTCGGAAGATCGCGCCGCATCGCCGGTGCATCGGCAGCGACAGCGTGGCGAAGCTCGGGCTGCACCTGGAGCCACATCGCCGATGCATCGGGGCTGCGGCGCGATCCTCCGACCCCATCTGCTCGGGTCCCATGATGCTGCGCCCTCAGATGCCGAGGGGCCCCTCGTGATCGTCACCAAGATACTGTAGGGGCCCGACCACAAGAAACCTTCCACAAGAAACCCAAACCTGAGACCCCAGGACGTCCATTGATTTTTGGTGTGGGAACGCCACGCTCTCCATCGTAAAACCATCGACACCCAATCAACCTAGGGCGCCCCGGAGGCAAGAAGGGTGTTTCTTGGCATGGGTCTGCACTGTAAAATGTTACAGGCCTGTAAGGAAGCGATCCGAGGAACCATCAAATCACGATCGGGGGTGGGCCCCCGTGTGTGCACTGCCTGTCTTGTGCGCTCGTCTCCATGGATGGGCGGACTTGGGATGAACTGAGCAGAACTGGCCCGCACAGACCATGTCTCAGCCATGCTGTTCTGGACCGAACTGGGCAGATCAAGACTTCTCTTGCATGCATCTAGTCTGAAAAGGGTCAAGTTGGAACGAGCCCGGCCGAGCTGGAGTGGTCTGGGCTGAGATTACCTGATTTTGACCAGTCTGGCGCGGGACTAGTAAGATCTAGGATGAACTGGAACGAGCTGGGCCGAACTGGGCCGAGCTGGACTGTGACAGACTGAGCGTGACCGGGCTGGTGCGAAGCGGGAATGAGCTGGGCTGGAATTGACAGAGCTGTATTGTGCTGGACCGTTCTGTGCAGAGCCTGGCTGCACAAGACCGAGTGAGACTGACCTTTGCTGGGCTGGGCTGAGACGATGTGGGCTGATGTGTACTGCGCTGTTGGCTGAGCTGGACAGACCTGGACTGAACTAGGCTCAGGTGGACGGAGATGGATTGACACGAAATGAACTCGACTGGGCAACGCTGAACTGAATTGATCCTGTCTCGAATGGACCGATCTAAGACTAGGTGGTCGGGCAGAGTCCGTCCTAAGCGGACCCGTGATACAACCCCGGTCGCACCCCCCATCGGAGACTCAAGTGCGGTGCCTGCTACCATTTGGGGTTCATGGGGCTCGTAAGAACAACGCATCCACGTGCCTTAACGCGCCTTCCACATGAGAGGTCCTCCGAACATCGTCCCGAAAGGACCCGCAAGATACCCCCTGTTCGGCTACCACTCTCACAGGCCCGAGTGCGGTACTTCCCAACATTCGGTGATGATGGGGCTCTTATGGGAGACACGTAGTTCTCCACACACGCTGGCTCTGGTAGTATAGGGAGGTTAGGTCAGGTCAGAAGCCGTGCATCTGTAC